AATTAGGCATTGTGTTTAAAGGGAACAGGTTTGGCCAGGCCTTGGTGTACACTGCTGTACTTGCCCTTGGTGCAGCCCGCTTTCCTCTTTTTCTCAAGCCTGCATTGTGATTGTCTTCGCCCTGGGATGAATCTGGCTCCCTCAAGACCTAGAAAGGATCCCCAGATCTGTACATCACCTGTTAATGAACAGTATTCTTGATTAATCAACCTGGACACACAAATCTCAAGTTTTAGCATTTCTGCAAGGCAAATGGCTTCATATTAAGTCAGTTGAGATCAAGCCAGATTTGTCAGTTGTACCTAGATGTCTCAGTCATTCAGAGGTGACTGAGCTGATACTTTTGGTGACCAAAACAACCAAGACACATGCTTCCTGTGCATGTTGGAAAAACTTTGTGGAGGCATGTGTGCAGAGGGGAGGAAAGATTCAGTGAATGAGAAAGCAGCTGTAGATAGCAAGGTTTTATCTAGTAAATTCTCCGAAATAACTTAATTAAATTTAATTCAGCAAAACAAATATCCAGCTTCTGCAGGCAGTGATGGGGAGGGGTGGATGGACAGGGAGCAGGGGAAGAGCTTTCATGAATCCTACAGGAGACATAGCAGAGATTAAAAGAAATGGGCAGAAAAGGTACTGAGATACTCCTACTTTGATGAAAGTTTTTAATCTAAAGGTGCCAGATTTTCTGATGTTTCCAAAGGTATCAAAAGTAGCATAAAACAGGCTCAGGGGAAGGTGCCAAGGGTTTCATTACATGCCATGGGTGAGAGGGAGGAAGTTGTAGTTCACTTAAGTTTTGCCCATCTCCTTTCCCTCCTCACTCCCCATTCTGTGCAAGCTTTATACTTAATGTAGAGTGAAAAAAGGTGGAAAGACCATAGAATTCGAGTGGGAATACTCTATGCTTTTCTGTGGCATACAGTGCAATTTGATACAGTTATCTGGGTTTTTTTTGCTGCCCTGCTTTTGCTGTCAGACTCCAGGTTGCTGTAACTCAGCATAGGCACATTTTGGAACCAGCTGGAGGTCTGGTGGGTGTAATTGTGTTGCTGCCTGTACAGTTCTTGATCTGTATCAGTATGAAAAAGAGAGGCATGTCCACTGCATTGTGAAACGTTTGGAAAGCACTAGAGAAACAGAAGATATCCCTGTGAAAGTCGAAGTTGTACAAAGCCTCTGTTCAGTGTTTTGTTTTTTTAAGAGTAGCTTTCCCCACTTGTGCCAGATTATTTGGCTGCTCTTCATCATTCTTGCTTCTTTATAATGCTTGGATCAGCTTTTCAGTGGGCAGCGCTTTTTGTCGGACTGTCAAGAGGTGAACTCCACAGCAAGATGGATTTTCTGTCTTCCTCTGACTATCTTGCTGGCTGGCTGTTTGCTTTTCTCCTCCTCTGCATTTTATGTACTCAAGTTTGTGTTTTACTGTGCTTCTTTATATCTTCCCCACTTTTAGCTCCTTATGCCCATCGTTGGATAATCTTAATCCACTTTTTGCCAAGCTCCATTCTCTTAAACGAGAATGTTTAGAAAGTGGATTTGGGCCTCAAATAACAGGAGACATCAAATTTATAACACATGCCAAAAATACCTTTTCATCATGCAGTTTGAAGTTGCTAATTTCAGTTTTCTTAAAATGTACCCGGCCCGAATCCTGTATGTGCATACAAACTTTATCAGCAAAGTGAATAGACATGCCTCTTGATTTAATATTTGTTTGCTCAGGATTAGTCCTGTATAGACTTGCAGATAGTTTCTCTGTTAAAAGGCTTATATCAGCTTGGGTTTGTATTTCATTTGTCTACCTATAAGCTTCTCATTATACTAGTATGTGAGCAGGTGGTCAGACAAGAAGCACTCTTATTCCTGTTTAGGAGGTAAGTGACCTTATGATGCTCACTGAATCATGGAGATTTGTGGCAGAGCTTGGTCTCCCAGTTCTAGCTCCTGATCTGGGTTTGGGAGCTCACAGTGTGATCTGTGCTGGCAGTTGGTAGCCTAGTGTTTCTTTTTTGTAATAGCAGAGAGCAGGTGAATAAGCAGGGCATTTTGCGGTCTCTCAGGATTTTATCAGGAATGACATTACTTTAGTCCCTGCTGCTGCAGGCATTGTTGTCACCCAGCTTGGAGAAGTCAAATGTATATGAAGAAGGGAAATACTTCTGTCTGTGAAGTGATCTATAGCTCAGGGGATGGTTTATAAGGCAAAACCCCAACAGTTTCAGTCCCAGTTCTTTCCCTGTCAGCAGTGGTGTGATTGTGGAGGGCTTTGTGCTGCAACTTCAGGGTGCAGCTGTAGTTCACAGAGAGCTTCCCCAAGGTTGCTTCAGGCCAAAAAGGAAGCAAGCCCTCAATACACAACAGTGACAAGCATCCAACCCTGGGCTTTGAGAAGGAAAAAAGAAAATTAGGTATTACTTTGGTCCCCTGTGTCATCCCCAGTCATTCTGTAGCAGCTAGACTAGATAAGAGGTTTATGACTCTGCTTTTATTTTCTATCAAGTACTTTGATTCTATGGAGTTTGCATTCCTAGAGTTCATTCCTCAGCAGACCCAAGTGACAGCATTGTTAACTGTGTGTCTCTCAGTATTTGATTTTCTAGGAGGAGGAACCAAGATTCTGGTGTTCTTGTAGTCCCGATATGTATGGATTCCTCTGGTGCTTTTTTCTTTTGTGCTGTTATTGTAGTTGGGTTAATTAGATGAAATCTCTGACATAGGTCTCTGAATGATGTGTTCAAAGCCAGGGGTTGGGAAAGACTTATGGCTGTAAAATTAGAATAAATACCCAGAAGTAAGGGCTGAAATAATCTGGTGCCACATAACATACTTGGTAACCTGTTACATATGCATTAATAAGAGATTGCATTTACAAGAGATTCTTTAAAAAACAGGGTGGGTCAGACTTCGTATCATCCGTGGCAGATTTTTTTCCCACATATTTCCAGGAGAAAGACCCATTTCCATGCTCCAGAAAGCTCACAAAACAAGCTCCAGCATCAGGTGTACCATGTTATTGGGACTCTGTAAGCTTTGGGTTTCTAAACTGTGCATCACTGAGAGATGCAGCGAGAGACCAAAAGGTACAATATCATCTGTAAAAGATGTCTATGTGGTGTAACTGGCTCCTGGTTTTTATAAAAAACTGCAGTTAGATTGTCTTATCTGCTCTGTCATATCTCACAGATGAAACTAATTAGAAAGATTTCCTAAGAAATAATTAGGCAATTCATAGGAAAGCAACACATTTTCTCATCCCCACTGCCATCCTTTCCCTCCCAGACATTATTAGTTTGCTGTCACTTCTCCCTTACTAATTCCTTGGGAGAACAAGCAGTTCTGAAGCAGCAGAATGTATGACCAACTTTCCCATGTATTTTTGCATGTTTGAGTGACTGACTAGTCTAAAAGGTACAACCTCAGATACATTTTGCATGGTTTTTGGGGAGACTGTAGTGATGGTGGTGGTGTTTTCTGTGTGTGCTTTCTGATGGCTAGCAAGGTGTAAACTCACCTGAGTGCTTCAGCTAAGGCACAGGTAGGTTCCCTCTGCTTTTTTCATAGAGAACAACTGCTCTCAGAGGAGCGAGCTGTGTGTCCTCTATCTGCTGAGAAATGTGCGAGCTCGTTTAGGGGCAAACACGGGGACGTTACCTTGACAGGTAATCCCCGGTGCCTCCATTCTGTGGCAAGCAGCTGCAAACACGGCTGGCAGAGCTGTGGAGCATCAGCTTCAGAAGCTGGCAGGCTGCTTTGGGAACACAACTCCAAAGCTGAGGATTTGTAGCTAAGTCACCTCTCTTCCCACGTCTGCTCTGAAAGGGCCACTTTTAGCCTCCCCAGGACCTTGCAGGGAGTTGAGTGCTCGGTTTCACCGTGTCCTTCCCGAGGGAGGACACTTCCCGAGGGTCCCCGTTATGCCCAGTCCCGCCCCCGCTGCGGGCGAAGGGCCCGGGGCACGGCGGGGGCGGGCCCGGGAGCGGGGCGGGGATCGGGCTGCGCCCCGCGCCGGATT